TTAATCCTTCTGACAGTCCTTTACCTTCTCAAAGGCTCCCTCTCCAATGATCTTATTTTTTTAAGGTTTTTCAGACAGATCGACCTTCTTTAGTTTCTTTGTCTTAATATTGTCTGAGTTTCTTTGCTCCTCTGATCTTGTGAGTTTTAAGGGGCACTAGTGAATCAAGATGGATAAAATAAGTTATTAGATTATGAAATCAAGTCTTGAACACGACTTGGCGGTTTTCTGTGTATAACTTGAAGGTATGTAGTTTTGTAAATGAAACTTCAAGAGAGGATACAATATAAATGAAATGCTTTCAAACACCGTGCTAGTGACTTAATACTTTCAAAACTCCTTCTCGCTATTAGACTTTTCTACTCGAGTCTATTGCCCAAATACAAATACATTTTTAGTTATGACTGAGTTCGATAATTTATAAACAATATACATAGTGTGTTAAAACGCGCTGGCCTTTAGTCTTTTGCTAATTTGAAGAGTTTTTGAGCTAATGCACCAGAGATTTCTATAACAGCTTGAAAAGGCCTTGAAAATCTTTTAGCTGACGATACCTCTGACGATAAAAATAGATACAACATAATTAGCTACAGATTATAATTCATGTAAAATAGCTTAAACTTTCCAATTCAAAATTTATTGCACTAAAAATGTCTTGTAATCTCACTGATAAAGCATGGATACTATTATCCATGGATAAAGTAGAAACCCTGGAAAATTCAATTCGGTTATGAGTCATTTGCTTGCGTGAGGCAGCACGCGCACTCCTGTTTCACGCTTCACGCCTTAGCCACCTTCGTCCCCAGGCCAGTTTGCGCTAACCAAGCAAAACGAGGAGGCTTGGAGCGGAGCGCGACTTAAGAATGACAGATGACGTCACAAACGAAATTACCGAGGACCACCGGGACTGAGGCTGCGTCTCAGCTGCTGACCAAAGTGAAGGCGTAGCACCAAGATTGTTACAACAGTTGCTATGACGTTTTTTTGTTTTCGCAAACAAACAACTTACACCAATAAGTAAAAAATTAATATTTTACCGAAAGTTACACGATCTTTCTGACAAACAAGTTTCAAAATACTACTTCTTGAATAGTTCTCCTTCTTCTGTTTGTCCTCTGGAGCTTGTCCTCGTTACATTATCCCTTTATTGAAACTGATCAAAAGGCGTCTCATCTCACTGGGCCTTGAAACTGCTGTTAACTCTAGCCGCGCAAAAAGAAATTCTTTGTCTTCAAAAGTAAAGCGACAAATTACTTTCTTACCTTTTTTCACTACATTTTCCTGCAAAATACTGAAAAACGCTTTGTAGCACATAATAGGTAAAAACAAACGGCCCTATAACTGGACCCGGCTTCATCGCTCATCTGTACGCAGCATTCAACGAAAGATCATACTGAAAGATTCAACTCTGTTGTCTGAAATGGCGTCATAAGAGACATTTACCGCGCGCGAGCAAAAGAACTTCTGTTCCAAAGCTGACGAACAGTAACCGTTTGCTTTATTTTGTGAGCGTATTACGTAAGGTACGTTTTTAATTTGGCAGTGGGCTAAAGCTGTTTTTCCCGAAAAACTCCCTTTCCCTTTCCTCTCCCTTACCTGTGTCTCGCATTCTCACTCAGGGGCGGACGGAGAATTTTGTGATAGAGGGGGCCTAGAGATATAGTATACAGTGGCAATATGGGCGCGATAGCGCTCATCGGGACTGCGAACGGCGCCCTTTTCTGGGGAGTTTCGGGCGCATGCTACTCCGGGAAATTTTTGAGATTGAAGTTCTCCAAGATGCAACCTAGTGCATTCTGAACGCTTAAATTTAGCAAATGCCTGGATTCCATATTGAACATCCGACACACGTTTACAAAAGAAAAAATTCCCGGACAAAAAGGGGGGCCTGGCCCCCCTGGGTCCACCCTTAAATCCGCCCTAGTCACTGAAAAAATGTATAGGTCTTATGCACAGCAGAGGCGACGTGAGGTATGGCAGTCCCAATCATGTAAGGCTGCCTGGGAAAAAAGGGCAGCGCTGCTCTTAAGTCAGTGCGTCTTGCTTTCAGCAGCCTCTGAGCACCCTGCCGCGGGGACGTTTCTTTACGAACACGACCGCTTGCTGAACGTCCTAAGCGGCGGGGAGCGATCAGAGGGCGGCTGTTTTCGGTCACGCTTGCTTGCCTCCTGCCTGTGGGAAGTTTTTGATTGAGTCATTCCGGATTTTTAGTCATCTCCTTTGATAGCAGACATTGTAGGGACGCAGGGTTGAGATAACCCAGGGTTAGTGCGAAATATGCGGGAATTCAGATGTGAAAGCTTAAAATTCAAATTCAGTTTAATTCTTCTTGTCTACAAAATTGATGATTAGATGGTACAAAAGTAAAGAGAAAATTACCCATGAAAATGCTTTTAAACAAAAGAGAGAGAAACCTGGGTTAAAATTTAACCCTGGGTTAACGCTAATCGGCCTTCGAACAACACGGCCCTGGGTTAGCGCTAGTCGGCTTTCCAACAATTGGTTGCGATTTAACTGCTGTCCATATTATAGGGGTGTCCAAGAGACTAGAGTTGACGGTACTTGCTCGTGATGATTTTAAACGAGTGCCTGTAAACAGGCTAGAGCAGATTAATGCACTTAAACCATGAACAAAGCACAGTTGACTCGCTTCTTTTTGTACAAGGCTCTGGATAAAACACGGAACGTTTGCAACCAATCCTTTAAAAGGGTTTCTCAGGTAAAACAATTTCTGCATAATCTATGGTTACGGCATCAACAAAACGAAATCCATTTAGATAGTCGTGACTCCAAGAACATGAACACTTTATTTACAAAAAATACATTTCATTGTGAAAAGTGGAGTGTTAGAGTTCTTGCTTAAAACGATGTGATAAGCAACTCGACTTTTGCCCACTGCGTTATGTTGCAGACTTAAAATAATCAATTTTGGACAATAATCTACTTTTCAGAAAGGGAATACGTGCGAACTACTACGATAGGAATGTGATAAAAAAAAACGAAAATGAGATCTAAACAGGTTTTTCTAGCAAGATGTGTAGTTTCATTAACAAGCGGGGGTAAACTGACCACCTGGCTAACGTAACTAGTACAGTCAAGTTCCACTTGCTCGTAAGTAACGTAAAAGAAAATGCTACATTAACTGACATGTTTACTTTAACGCCAAGTTAAGGGAGATGACCTTGCTCTCCGACTTTTAAATACATGGACAAAATCCTGTGGTGTTACCATTTAAATGAAACCTCTTTGGCAGAACGCTTACAAATTACTATTTCTTTTTAAAAAAAGAAATGGCATTTTTTGCCACAATTTGAACTTTGCCCACTGTTGGGAGTGAAGGGTAACTTAGCTCTCTGCCTAAGAGGATCACTCGCGTAAAAAGAAATAGTCTCTGCTCACAAGGGTAGCTTAGTAACAGGAAAACCAAACTATATGTAACTAGTGCCACACTGAAAATTCACGTTTTGTTAATGGATAACCTGCCAAGAAAAGTCCCTGACTGGATAGTCGCTCTGCTTATGGGAGCATGATCTGACTTAGGAGGGAAATCTGACTGACTGGGTTACCTGCCTAACCTACTTGGACACTGTGTCTGTATGTGAGATCGTGATCAGTTTGACAGGCCTCACTGACTTGTTTTTAACAAGTAAGTATTCTTGTGTGTATTCATTTCTGCTTGATGTAGTTAGTGGACCTGAAAATAAAATAACAAGCTTTTAATATAAGCTGTAAGTGCAAGCTAAACATGAAATCAATATGTTATACAGGCTGGTCCATTGGGACCTGCAATGACGATTAGGGACCCAAATGGGTCGGGATCCGGGATTTGAAAGCAAAATCAGGGCGAGATTCGGGATTGAAAGTATTTGAGAGAGGTGGGATGCCAAAAATAACCCTCGGGATTACGGAATTGCTCGAAATTTTGGGTCAGGATTTACGGGATTGAAGAACCCTATTGAGGACCCTACAGAATGGTAGCCTGCAAGCAAGGTCTCCTTTTCGAGTGGTGGGAAAATTCAAGAGTGAGGGGGTAGGGGTGGGGGTGGGAAAGAAAAGAAGAACAAGATGACACCTTTCCTTCTTTGCCCCTCGCTCTTGCATCTCCTTCTGCAGGCGAACCTTGACTTCTCACGATATACCCCAAATGGAGAGTGTGATTTCAAGCTACACAGAAGGATAATCCCCTCTTAGCTGAATCCAATCACCATTAGCCAATCAGTAATGATTTTCCGTACATGCCAACTATTGGGCAGATATTCAAGTTCCGTGATCTCCACTACCATTTTAAGCTCACAATACCAAACCGTTCCTTTTTATCCTTATTGAATGCTACCAGACACTTCAGTCTGTGTATGCTGTGAAAGATTTTTACTTTCACATAACGTCAGCAACTTAAAGCAGACAGCTACTGCGAGATAAGGGTTCCATGGGTGACAACAAGTAGTTTGTGTATCATCTTAAAGAAGCCGATCAGGCCTCAATCTCCCTTACAAGGCCTGGGTGGAGCAAGGGTATAACATGGGTGCTGGGTGCAGTACGGTTGAAGTATGGAACAAAGGAAACGCAGTGGTGAGAGCATTTGCCTCCCACCAATGTAGCCCACTGGCTTAAAATCCCATTGCGAACGCAACATGTAGGTTAAGTTTGTTGTTGGTTCTTGTCCTCACTCCCAGAGGTTTTTCTCTGGGTGAGGTACTTCAATTTTCCCCTAGAAACGATCCCAGTAGTGCTGAACACAGAAAACTTTTTCAAGGCAAGAAATATAAACAGAATGAAAGCCTAAGTTACTGTAACACTTATTGGTAGCAGATGGAGGTAACAGGCTTCTGCTTAAGGTTCAATAACAGGGTGTCAATAATGCCATCTCATTGTTTGCTTGTAGTTAAGACATACAAAAATAATTAAAACGTAATACAGATTTAGCCTGTGTAGCAGACCATGAAGAATATAATGTCTTGTGGCCCATATTTCTCATGTACCTGTAATGTGAGCTGTTTTAGACCAAAACCACTTCTCACCTTATGTGTATATAGTCTTTCTGACAGCTTTTTGTGTAGGGAGGACAATTCAGATATGCTGAGTGTAGATTCTACCAAGTCAGATACCTGAAATTTCACCTTTCAATTAGGTCATGCAAGAGAAACTGATATACAAAATCTAACAGACTTCCCTGCCGCATTCACGCATTCATGGGAGAAAATTCAAAACTGGATTTCTGATCTTAGGGCCTGATTACAAGGAGGGAGGGTAACCCTTGTGCTAGGGTTACCCTAGCAAGCAGGATAAAGATTACCTCTAGTTTATAAGCAAAATTTGAAAGGTAGGGTTACTCTATCATCTGGGTGAACTTTTAAAGTGAGACTGACAAGGGTGGATTTAGGGATGGGCCAAGAGGGCCGAAGCCACCCCTTTTTCTTTGAAATTTTGTGTTATTTTTATAGAATTCTCAGAAAAATAAAAAGTATCTATATAGCTGGCAAGTGGGCAAGTGTCCCGGCCACCGCTTTATGAATTTTCTGGGTCCGCCCCCTGACTGACTTGTTTCATCAAGCACAACAATTTAAGAAGACTAAAATAACAGTTCATTGTAAGGTCAAAGATTTGAATAAAATCTCAAAGATCTCTTTGGAAAACATGTTTAATTCTCACAAAAAAAAAACACTAAAAAATTATAATATTATATTATCAATGTATACCTGACAGAAAATACCTTACACTGTTCAGATGTTTAAAATTAAGCTCAAAAATTGGATAACTCCAACAGTTATGACAGAGCAATGTTGTCCCAGGTAGGTGAGTTATTCCTAGAAGAGCTTTTACAAGGCTGGTAGCATAACCCTCTTGCTCGGATAACCTTTGTACTCAGGAAAGGTAAGCATGGTACTAAGGTAACCCTACCTCCCTTGTAAACATGAGGCATCAAAAATTAGGAAATGTGCATGTGTTAGGGTAAACCTCCTGGCAATGAGAACCCTTTTACCTCGGTTACCCTCCCTTCTTAAAATTAGACTCTACTACTGTACTTAGATGCCACACACACAAAAACATATATAGATTGGATTCACCAGACAAAATAACCAAGGTTTATTGAAAAGAAAGCAATGTAAAAGGACCTCTATGAATACCGTTTTTACAAATGATCTGATCACTAGTAGTATAGATTCAACTTGAAGAAGTCACAATTTTTCAAAAATATAGTTTCAGGAAAATGCACACATTCCTTTCAATTTGGAATATTTAAATTAAAATAGTATTACTTTCCACAGAAAAGTTTACTCTGACATTGCTGTTGCAGAACAAACAAGAAGGATAATAACCATTATGCTCATACATAGTGGTCACAGTTAACAAGCTAACTTACCAATGTATTGTAAACCTTTATTCTGCTGGCATAATGAACAATCTTTTGCAGGAGTGTTTCATGAGGTGCTATCATGCTTGAAACACACTTGGGAGCCTGTAGATTAAAAGGACTGTGCTAAGATAAAGGAAAAATTCAAGCACAGGAGGTTCACAAAGCCAGAACTAACTAACTACTTCCCAGGGATGAAGGTTACACCAGCATTATGTGCCAATTTAAAAACCTCCTTCCAACCCAAGCCTCGGTGTCAAAGCGAGGGTAAGTGTGAAGAAATCAATAAATAAAGTATTATTATTGATACTAAAAATATTTATTTTTCATATAAATAAAGGAAATATCTGCCTGCAAATAGGATTTTTATGCCTATCCTTCCCACTGTAATTATAATAAATATTAATAGTAAAGTAGTCCTAGTGAGCCTAGGTGTGGGGTGTAGCGAATTAAGAAAGGTTATACCCCTCTGCACTTAAGAGTTAGTCATATGACTAGCATCTTTGGGTTTGACTCATTCGTCTGGGTTCAGCAGTGAATTAACACATGAATTTTCTGTCCCCTCACCTTTACTGAGCCAGATAATGATCAAACAGTTTATTGAAAATACATATTTGAGTAAGAGCGACTATGAGTGCAGGCTCATAGCCATTTTCCTCCAATTGTTGTTGTGTTCTTTTCCTTCCAAGTAAACAGAGGTCACGATAGCCAGCATATGATCTAGCTCTCATTTATCATATTGGGATGATACAAGGGATTCGTCTAACAAGAAAGAATTAAAACTTGGCCTCGTTTTGAAAGAATGAGGTTTTTCTGGAACTTGAAAAATGGCCAACCAAAATGTCCTCCTTGCCCATTACCCAGTGAAGTTTCCCGCATTTCTGGATTCAACTCTTTGCTTATCACTGGGAAAAAGAGTTCACCATTAACATTCCTGGGCACAATTTAATCTTACCTTGGCTGATTCTGAGATAACATCTTTTAAAAAACCAGTTCCCACTGTAAAATATTGGTGATGGACATCTGGAATATCACCTTCATGACCTTCTTCATGGTCTGTTGCAGTTTCCATATTAAAAAGCTCATCTCTTGAAGAACAAGCTGCAACCTCTATTGATTCCCTTCTAGAACCTACAAAAATTTTAAATAATCAGAGCTGCTCTTGAAATTAATAATTATTAGTACCTCCTTGGTAGCCAAGATATTAAGGAGCGAAGGTTGTGTTGTAGTGGTTAGAGCACTTGCCCTCCCATAATTGCTGGAGGTTATGCCATTTGTTGAATGAGTTGATTGTTGGTATTTTATTCTGTCTTGTTCTATGTATGTGGGTATTTTTTTCAGTCTTAGTACATTAGTACGCTTAGTACGCCCATGTTCTATGCATGTTGGTATTTTATTCGGTTGGTCTTTTATTCCATTTTCATCTACATGCATGCATGGCTTTCTTCAGCTTTACCACAGAGCACAGCATGTAACAAAGACAGCTGATATTACACTCAGTGACTAAGGGAATAAAAGAGGCCCTCTCCCCACCTACCCTTCTGGATTAGTAAGTAAAGAGATCAGAATCCAGTATACACAAAATAAACTAACAAAGAACTTACTAAATTCTAAGTATACTTGTCCGGCGTACTAAGCGAAAAAAATTCAAAAGAGTTGCCTAGAATGGGCAGCATATGCTCAGGGCTACACTCACCCATATGATTATATACATATTCACACGACATACAAAAAAGCAAAAAAGTTATTGGCTACTAGTGATAAATTGTAGTTATGATAATGTGAGTTCCCCACATAAATATGAACACATACATATCAGTTTTCATTTCTGATTTAATCTTCACTATGTTCAGGGTATTAGTATGACAGATGTCCACATTACTGATTCCAGAGTAACACACAGTATTGATCTGTAGGATCTAGTGTTTGATTATGCGAGAGGATTGACCATACCTTCTACTTCATCAGCTTGTTCTTCTTTTGGGTTTTCTGTGTGATCACATGAAGATACATGTACATCATTTCCTTCATTAGCGTTCTTTTCCCTTTTTATGGCACTGCTATTTCCTGAAGGCTGATCACTAGCAGTGTTAGTCTCAGAATCAGTTTTCTGGTTGCCAACAGGTTTTTCTTCACGGCTGAGGCTTCTTTCTAATCTGTTCTCCTCATTTTCAGAGAAGGAAAATCTATTTAAGCTGCTTTTGCTTCTTTTACGATGAATCTTACATGAATATCCCAGAAGGCCCAACAGAACCTTCATGATTCTTGGCTCTGTAAGTTACAAAGAAAAGTATTAGTAACTAATATATAATACAACCCTTAACCCGGCCTTTAAGTTACCACATATCTTTAGGGGTGTCTCAAGTCCAACATAGCACATTATTATTATAGCCATGTAAAAATCAGCATGAAACTGGCTAAGCATCCAACTAATTTTATAGGTGGGTTGAGCATGATCATCTCGGTGAGTGTGTAGTCCCGAATAGGACTGTTGTTGACAGTGACTGATGTTTCGACAACCTGTGCGACAGTCATCTTCAGAGTCAAAGTGACTGGTACCATGTCAGTTGATGGTATTAACGATATGTAATGAAGAATCCTGGTATGTGTAGAAAACCGGGGTATGTGTTGAATATCTTATTAATTTTTTCAGTCATTCTGATATTTCACTGAAATCTCTCACAAAAGAGTAAGTTCCAATGAAATTTTCTAGACAACCCATTGAAAATACATCATGGTGCTCACCTTTTTCCATGGCTTTCAAAACACTGATGGGATCAGCTACAAGTATCACATTCAGAACAGAGAAGGACTCCATAAGGGACACTTCACGGCCAACAATAATCCCCCCTTCATCATGTCCACACTCAGCTACAAAATGGCACAGCAGTGGAACAACTGACACACAACTCACTAGCAAGAAAAATAGGAGAATTAATTTGTTTCAATCAATCAATCTATCTGTCTATCTATCTATCAATTTAACAAGCACATGTGAAAATCTCTGGTATCATAGATGCAAAATTGTCTCAACAAAACAGCTTAAAGAGTCATTTGTGAAGCAATCGCGAATATAACTGAATCCTTCTTGAAACTATGTTTTAAAAGCTGCATAATTTTGTAAGAAGAGTCAAATGATATAGTAATTCATTACATGGTGATCTCTTGCCCTAGAGAACCAACATTTGCGGCCTTTTTTGTTTGTATTGCAGGTAATTAGTCACATGATTAAACAAAATGACCTTTTCATGTTTTTCATGACTGGGAAAAATCACTAATATTTTTTACCATCTGAATGTAACGACTACCTAGTAGTAATGGCTTAACCCTAAAGTAGCTGCCCCTTTAGCCTGCTAAATTAAAAAGCAACACGGGCTGTTACATTTCGAATTCTATCGTACAATATTGCTCCCGACCTTTGTGCTTAGCTAGTACTACCATTTTTTACTCACCCAATCCTTGTACGCCTTGTTCAACTGTGGAAATCATCTGAAGAATATGGAGAAGGGTTTCTACAATGTGAAGCTGCTCAGATCTATGCAATATGAAAAACAAAGGCAAAAATAATTAAACTTTTGTTTAGAAACTTTCACCACTCAAATCTCAACCCCTTTCTCCGCCTAGATCAAATCACAAACTTAAGAGGTTAATACCCCCTACGTACAATTTATTACCCAGGAGTCTCCTAAATATGACACACATTGCCAAGTCTTTCATACAGGTGAACAAACCTCTTGCACTTTTCGCTTTTCAGTGCTTTACGTTGGAATGAGTCAATATTCACCACCAGAGAGAAAACTGTTTTTGAATAAAATTATTTTTTCACCACGCTAAATGTTTAGGAACCTAATGGTTCCAGGAAAAAAGTTAATTTCATGCTCTAGTACATTACATGTATATGTTGTGGTTCAATTTTATCCTTGGTTTACATTTTATTTTCTTTTGTTTCAAACTCATTATCGTACATTACCATACCCAGAAAGAAAATAAAATAAAATTTAAACCAAGGGTAAAATTGAACCACAACATATATTCCAAGCGACTGTCTATGACTTCCTTGTAATAATTATTAAAGCACCCATTCTCACAGAAATAAGTTCATATTTTGCTGTACCTCATATGCATCTGTTTCATAGCTTCACAAACAGCAGTCACAAGTGGTAAATCAGCCCAAGTTCTTAACATTTCATCACTTGAATCAAGAACCTTGTCCACCACTTGGGAACAATTGGTCAGGAGATCCACTTTAAAATCAACAGCACAATTTACACGCCAGTGTAAACATTAGCGGTAATCAGTGTAAAAAATAGATGTTAACAAATATATATAATTTGTGAAAAAAAATTTTTTTTTTTTCAGAAAAATGTTAAAGATGAAAAGTACCACAGTCTGACTGACTTTTTTCATGAAACAGATTTGACTAATATTTAAGTACTTCAGTGAAGGTTTCCTTTTTTGACACTATGTGGTAACATTTTTTTCTTTATTACATGTAACCTCTTATTTCACCTTGACAGCATAAGTGTTTACAACTGACAACCAAAAAGTCCGCCCAATTTGGCCTATACAGTATCAGGTTTTTTGCAAAAAATATGAACAAATCAAATGTTGAAAAGAACATGTATGTCACTAATCTACATAAAAGCAATAGCTTTTTGCATGCATTAATTATTAAAATAATCTAATAGTGGCAATCAAAAGCCGTAGAATTGCTGAGAAGCAAATATCCGAAAAGCAAACCCGCTTACATTATTTTATTGTGTTTTTACTATTGTGTGGAAAACAAAACATAACATACAATAAAATAAAAAGTACATTTGCTCGTACTTTAGAAATTTATACATCTGAGATATGGGGCATGCTGGAAGAGTGGATTTTGTTGATGATTGTAGTACACTGGGCTTAAATTTTTATGCTGATGTAGTTGGTCCTTGTATAATAATAGAATAATTTATTATATGTGGCTAAATGAAGCTAAATGAAATTTAGGTTAAGTTACACTTGAGACATTGCTGGCCAGCTGTTTCTTGTTGGAGATATGCACCCTTTTTGCATCGCACGGGTTCGTGGGTATTTTAACAGCCAGGTCAGGCTACTATGTTTGTGTGTTGTTGCCTGTTGTGGCTAGTGCTGACAGAGTGTTTTTCTGCTCCCTTCCCTTCCCTCCCCCTACTTACAGTAAGTATATGGTAAGTACATGTACATGTATGTTAGGTTCCACTGGTTAGCAGTGTGACGGTACCTGGGTGGATGCCACTCTCAGGATTGTCAAGGATACGCATTGGGATCATTATACTGTTAACTGGAAACTGCCCACCTACCCCTCCCCTGAGCCAACATTTTGCCCTTGCACTAGGATGCAGTTTGGGGCTACACCAACCTCACAGGCACCTCCCCCACAAGCTCACCTCTATTGACGAGTTTAATCAGAAATGCTATTTCTGTGGCTCCAACAGAGAACGATGAGCATAATCTAAATGACCCTTTAGACATTATAAACAATTTGCCTATTTTACCAGTAACTAAAAAACTCACCATTCAAAGAGTTTTCCAGAATGTACATTAAGTTCTTGAATACTGTTTCAGTTTCTAGCACATCCATCCATTTCAGTAACACTTCATTGTTACTCAAACACACGTGAATCAGCCTAAAGAATAAGCGGAAAGTTGAGGAATTGTACTATTATTAAACATGTAAGACTATGCTCTCAAACAATGAAAAAGGAATTGATCATTATTCTAGATAGCACATGAGTAGAATGTAAGGTTAGGTCAACAGAGAGAAAATTAAACCCTGGTATCACACTTCGCCAATCAGTTTAGGTGCAAAGAGTAGGAAAACTGCAGCTAGCATGTACTACTCCAAAAGTCATTTGACTAGGTTCAAAATTTTTTTTTACAAGCACGATTGATTACATTTCTTCTGTAATTTTATTTTGATTTCTCCGAAAAACTTCACTTGCCCATTGGGCAAGTTAAGAAAAGAATTCACTAGCCCAATAGCAAAGTCCACTAGCCCCAGGATATCAGACACTACTTTCTCTGCATGCTGCAGATTCTTTTCCTAGCCTGAATTTGCAATCCCACACTGTAGTAGCTTATACATTATAGACAGGGAAAAACTTTTGATGCTAGAATTTGAACTTGCACCTATCCACATATTATCAAGTGATAAGATGATCCTTTTGAGTAAAGCCAATTCAACCCATCATTTGAAACTGAAACAGTTCCCACACAAATTGAAATACAAATAAAGGTAACAAAAAGTCCTGTGAAGTTATCAGTGGAAACATTTTTAATGAAAAAATTAAAGCAGAAAAGAATGTGAGTTTCCAGTTTCTCTTTCCTTCATAGCTAACTCTTGTGTTGACATTGTTCCTATGACAACCCATCCAGGTTAACTTTGCATATTCCTGAATTGGATTGGAATAAGCAAAAGGTTGAGGTCTACAGCGCAACTATTATCTCATACCCAGATCTCTTATTGCTGAACCCGAAGGTGAGATCTGGTCAAGTAAGAAAATTCAGTTTTTCTGATTGGCTAGATTGTGAGCAAATGATGTGAGTGTTGTCTCCTGCGCATGCTATGGTGTGTGCAATTCATTCTTTACAAAGTCTTCAGTTCTGTTCAAATAAAATATTTTCACTGAAGAAGTAGTTTTTTTAACTCAATATATCCTGTAAAACCATTTTTATCTTATCTTTAAAGACATTTTAAAACTCTCTCAGTATCAAGATAGACTTTTGAAAAGGGTAAAAAAATTCTCGCATAGAAGTTGACACATACTGCTTTGAGGTCTCAGCATGCTATGATAATTAAATTTAAATTCACTGCCGTGTTGAGTAAGTTGCTGTTACAAAGAACAACAACAACAAATTAGTTGGTTCACACTCAAGATGCACGTAATAACCACGATTTGGTAGAAAAAAACTTTACAGCTCCATCAAATTGAGGATTTATTTCAAGCACAAGCTCTTGCATCGCCTGTCACATTCCTGACAGGCAATCATGTGTACAAATCAGATTTGAAGAGATCTCTCCTTAGGCCTCATTAATAAGAGATCTGGGTAAGAGATTACCCCAACTAATGACTCAGTAATAGAGACTAGATTCAAACTGCTGACCTTAAGGTCTTAGGTCTAACACGCTTACTGTACATTGATACGTAATAACATTACCTGGTCACCTCTACCAAAACAGGTGCATCAGGTTCATCTAATAATGCTGCTACAAGGTTCCTGAAAAATAATGATAACAAAAACCATTTAAGAAAAAAACCACGTTACCATTTTTCTTGTATTCCTTAGTTGTACTGTGTTTAGATGCCTACGTAATTTAACCTTTATGTCTTGTAAAACTGAGCTGAGATTAATAAATCATCTTGTCTTGTCTTGTCTTGCAACTAACTGACAAGAGTAAGGTGCATTCAATTCAAATACACTGTAGGTGGAATTGAATTTTTCAAAGCCTACCTTAAATTATTATCTACAAATCTGGACCATGCAGCTAGAGTAAATAAAATAGTACACCCCGTATATTACATATATGTAATATCTAGATGCCATCATGTTATTTAATTTCAAAGTCTTACACAAGCTCATTGTTTCTCATCATCTTTGTGCAAACTTCATGGGAGCATGCCATATTTGCCAGAATGCCAACACAAATTTCCTATGTGTAACAAGGGAAAGATCAGTAAGATAAGTCTTAGTATTTATCATAATAATGATTGTTAACTTGAATGTTATGCAATAGAATACACTATAGTGATCTGTATTTTCTTTCTTTCCTTTTGATCCCATTTAGGATTGACGAAACCCCTCGGCTACTTAAACAGAGTACACTTTCACTATAGCATCAACACCGGGTGTGGTGAATGTACAATAAAACCTTGATGAGATGCCGAGACCCTTGCTTTAAAATGCAAAGCAAAATGAGGCCAACATCCAGTCATCTTGAATGAATAAGCTTTATCAGTAAAAGGATTTATTATATGGCCAAAAAAAGAACTTTTTTTTCAAACCCAAGCAAGAAATCTTGAGTGGGCAAGATACAACCTGTACATGTAGACCCATCTTGCCTGCTGGGATAGCCAGTCAGAACAGAGGATTCACTATATCTTGCCCATTTAAGGATTCAGCCACAGAACAATATCAGGGTTAGGATATATGTTAGAATAAACCCGAGATGTCAACCTCTGGAGATGTACATATGTAAAATCTGGGACTCTCTCTTTTGTGTTACCCCCCTCTCCCTCCCCAAACATCAATGGCCAACACCCCTCCGCTCACCACCACCACCACTATAACCACCAGATAAACTCATATCAACCCAGTCCCCAAATAATCTACATCTACATCTACATTTAGTAGTCAGCAGAAACTATGTACAGTTATCATGTTAACGTTAAATTAAGAAGAATAAGATTTAAAATTTTGCAAAAAAAATAAAATAAAATAAAATGAAGTAAAAATGAATAAAAAAGAAATAAATAAATAAAAATAAATAAGTAATAATATGTGTACGGTCCAGGACTTGTAGACATCTACACTCACAGTCACTCTTGCACTCTGAGACCTCAAGACAGCATCTAGGAGAACCTCAGTGGTTTCCATTTCCTCCAGAAAGGTAGCAACATCCTGTGGTTTACACGTATAACAAAAGGCAATGTCCTTTCTTATTATAATATTTTCAAAATATTTGGTACAATTGTATAAACAATATTCCTAACAATTTTTTAATGTCATTCCTCAAGGTGTAAGAAAGTCAGTTTTACAGATTGATTTTTGGGCAAGCTGTAGCTAGCATGCACTAGTCCAAATGTCATTTCAACTAGCCTAAAAAACTTTTTGACGAGCAGGATTGATTACACAGTTTTTCTGTAATTTGAATTCCTCAAAAAACTTCACTTGCCCTTCGGGCAAGTCAAGAACAATATTCACTAGCCCCGGGCTATTAGACACTACTTTCTTTGCACGCTCACGGTACATTCATTTATTCATACCTGTGCACAGGACCTTCCATTTTTATGCCAATCTCCCCCTATGGATGAGCATCCTTGGCAGATAACAGAAGGAATTTGTTTTTAAAGGGACCAAAAAAAGAGGGGGGTAGGAGAAGTTTTCTCAAAGGGTTCTGACAAAAGAGTGAGGTGGTAGGAATCTGCTCATCCAGGGTGGGGGGTGGGGGGTTCGGAAAAAAAATCGAATGTCCCCACCACAGCTGGAATGCTCAGGCTCCCTTAAATTTTCTTTAGAGCATAGCCTTGCGTAGTTCCCACAGAAAACTGCTACATGAATACGAAATGACTCTTTATCCACCAAATTTTAGGAGTTGGTTCAAAGTGGCAGGGTATTCTGCATTTTAGCCCATCTACTCGTTCATACATACGCGCACGATACGCGTATCCACGACATGTCACGCATTCCCGAATCAATATATACAGCTCTGTAAAGATCGACAAAAATTCGAAGAGTTTTTCAATTTACAAATCAAGTAACTCACCGCATTCATGGACATGTCCCAGAGTTCACACAACTCTCTTTCAAAATCATCGTCTAGCTCGTGTGAATGAAAATTTTCAACTTCGCGCGCTGATTGTTGTTGTTCGCGCTGTTGTTCGTCATTCGCAAAATCATCCTGCGATCCCTCGGCGTTAGTCTGGACGGACTGTATCAACTTCATTAGCGTAGCTAGTACCCATTTCTTGCTAAATACCGTATCACCTATATTGTCGCATTGTATTAACTCGATTTCTTCAGCAGATAAGCGCGGTGGAGAGGGATTTCTGTCGTCCATTTCTCTGAGTCCTTTTCTCGGAACCGTTCGGAACTTGTCGGAATCCATCGACTGTTCGTCGAGAAAGTTGGGTCCAGTCCCAATGACTGGTCTCAATGAAAAAGAAAAGATGGCGGACGGCGTTACAGAAAGTGGTATTTTGAAACGAAAAATGGAGGAAAATAACACTCCGGACACAAAAGATAAAGAGCTAAGCTCACCACCAGCTAAGGTGCGAGCCATAGGGGAGAGTACAAGTGATCCAGCTACTTCCAAAGCGAATGTTCTTGATGTGACGCCTAGCACTAGTGCTGCCAGTCAAAACACTGTTACAGAAAGCAATAGTGAAACGTCTGAAGAACGAGAGAAAATGCAGTAAGTAATCGATTTATCGCTGTCTAATTCGATCAGTGAGTGTCAGTTACATTACAGTGGTAGATTAGCAATGTTCATGCTTTGCAGAAAACATTCTGTCTTGTTTCCTGCAAAGCATGGACACCGCTAATCCCGGGGTATCTAATCGATGATATAGACAATCGATGACAATCGATATCAATCAATACCAATCGATATCAACTAATCGATTGATATTGATAATCAATGACCAATCGAAGGCGAAGATTCATGTCGTTATCAATTGGTATCGATTTTCAATAACAATCAATAGATAAATTAAATTGATATCAATTGGTTGCAGATTGACAGAATCGGCACATAAATATCACATCTTAGCAGCAATTATTGTAAACACATTTCATTTTAATACTTTGAAAGTTAACAGGAGAACTATACTCTCTTCTAAATCTCTTCAATGCCCATCCACATGTATCTGTTTTCCTTTGACAACTCAAAAGTTTGTTCCCATTCTTGCCTCCCATCCACATGTATTCCATGAAAACGTTAGCCAAAAACAGAAACGTGTGATGTTTGAAAGCGTTATCCAAAGTGGAAAACTTTTTAATATGTGCAGATATGGGTCAATACTACAGACTTGAAATGCAAAGTGGTAGCATCATGCCTTCACAGATGATAGCCTTTGACAATGCACCTTATGTATATTCAGTAAAGCCTCTTACCGCTATTCTTGTGTAGACATAATGTTACAGAAAGGCAATGACGGGCAAGTGGGTAATTTGAGTACATGTGCAACAGGGTATATTCTTTGGGTCAAGAAGACTGGGTCAGAATATTGTTTTACCAATTTCACCCCTAGGGCCTCCTAAAAATTGCAGATGATCGACAGGTAGTGTGTGTGATGTCTGTCCGAAGTTGCTGTGCCAATTCATAGCAATCGATGAACAGTTTTTGTGTGGTTATCGATTGATCATCGATTGACCAATAACAATAATGATACCAATTGACTAATTTTATCGATTGATATCGATTGATCGATTGGTTTTCAATCATCGATTTCCATCAATTGGATACCCCAGGTGCTAATCTACTCACCCTCACACACTTTATTAACAATTAACATTTCCATGAAGTCCATTTCCGCCTGCAAATAGCAGGTGCTAGTCGAGGCAGGCGGAGATACAGGGGTACAGCAGTCAGTGATAAATTACAAATAAATAAATAAATTCATAAAGAAGTACATACTGTAAAGCTTAGACGTAAATAAATAACGTAAAATCAACCACTTGTTACTAACAGTTACTGGTAAAGATAACTGCGAAACTTAATTGGGCTACTGCTCTAATTTAGCTAACAATAAGAAGGAGGAAAGAACAATGATCATAGGGAAAGAGAAGAGAAAAAAAACCCTCCTTTTACAAGAAGATTTTACCAAAATGTTAGGGCTGAATGACCAAATTTTTAAGAATATGTTAAGAATAAACCCATAACTGAGGCCAAGTAATAAAGTGCTCCCTGTGGTATTCCCATTGGATGGGCAAAGTGAACAGGGATCATGCACCAGTCAATGTTTAGACCCAGGGGAGGGGGGTTGGGCATTCCCTGGGTAGTTGACTCAATCTCTTCTCCTTTGGTTGGGAATAGGCCATTTGCAGTAAGAGGTCATGTAACAACGTTTTTATGAAAATGAAAGTTATATGATTTTGCCTTCAAAAATACGATTATTGGGTCATATCCTAAACAAAATAATAGTGATTTGTTTTCCAAACCTGCACCATTTTCTTAAAATGAGTAAGTTCATAGCTGGTCACATGACGAAAAGGTGATTTTTAAAATTATGAATTACCTCTTTCTGAACGCAAATTTTGCACTTAAACATCAAGGAAAATGTTGAAAAGATGATGTGGTAACATTTACGGGACATCTGAGCATAACTATCAAACGTTTAACAAAATATAAGCAAAAAGTAGTTTTGGCCGCCATATTGGAGGGCAAGAGTATGCCCTCCAACATGGCAGCCAATACAAATCATACTACTTTGTTGACAAATCCAAGTGCCATAAAATATCTTCCTTAAATGCATTAACTCTCAAATTTCTGTTCTAAGATATTTTTTATGTGCTCTGTCAATTTTTGACATCAGCAGGATTCCACCTCATTGTTTAAAGGATGCATTGGTCATGTGACCTCTTAGTGCAAGTGGCCTATAGAAAAAGATTTGACAAAACTCAAGATCCCAGGGGTGGGGATGTTTGACAAGGGTGCTCGAGAGCCTGGAACTAAGCTAAGCTCTAGACCTGCCATATTGAAATTAGCAAGAAAAACCTGCCTGAATTGTCATAAAGGTTTGTGTTCACCTATCATTCACCTGTTTCCTTGGATTTCTGGAAAATTCTGTTGTAGAAAGTATGGGAGGTGAAAAGGCTTAAAAGAGTCTGTGGTAGCCAGTAGCTTAGAGGAATTTGCTTTAGAAAAGGCTGCACAATGATAAGCTGAAAGTTAACACAGCATAGCCCGTTTTTGAAGCGCATTAGGTAAACGGACTCGCTCTAACAAATTTCTTGCTAACTAGTTTGAAGTGCGTTAATGTGGACGCTTATCTCTGAGCTGTACTGTATATAAACATGGATCTAGTAAATTGTATCATGTCTAGTGAAGTAACATATTTAATTCTTTTGATTGAGTGGAGAAGTGCAAGGGTTGGCATCTTCAGTGCTGTGTTGGCTTTAATTGATACTGATGACTCACGCTAAAGTGCCCTCTCTTTTGTTGCAGAGGATCTTGGTGTAGTTGAGGGAGAAAAGTTGATTGTATGGCAAGGATGAATGCATTGCAAAATATTTAAGGGGCATGAACATTATAAAATCATACATTTGCCTCCAGGGAAGGGGTATTCGACAACAGCAATAAAATTGGCCCTTGGGCAGGGAATTTGATTTGAAAATGGAGTAAAATGACAAATTCCCCTGGGTATACTTAGCCCCCCTACCATGAGGCTAAACATTGACTGGTGCATTAAATAAATCCAGATATACACTGATTGAACCAAACATGCTTTTAATGGCTGTCAACTAATTCTCCTAATCTACTGCAAATGCCCTAAAAGCAAGTGTTGTGCCAATGCACTACACTTCCCATCTCGGATAATCAACAACAAATAGCCGAAGGTGGGGGAAATAGAAAAGGATTACAATGTACATAAGGGTATCAGGTCAGGAATGGTAGAGAAGAACACCGTGGTCTGTTCACTTACAGAGGTACTGATGACATGAACCCAGCTGGCTCATTTTGCTGGGCTGGCTTGCTTTGCAAAGATCATGTCATGTTTATTAAAATGTAACAAACATCAACCTTGTGAGTACATGACAATACAGCCCGATATAGTTATATTATTAGCTGTTATCCCTATTTCAAGATGGCATTATACTTGGATAAAGTCACCTACGCAAAGCAAGCGAGGCTGGCTTATATTATAATTTAAACACCATACTTAACTGTCAGTCATTTTCCCTGCAAAATTATTAATTTTTTGTTATTTGTGAAGTTCACTATGTTCTATTCTGCTTGACTGGTGTTGGATATTTCCTGCAGGTTGCTTGTGTCTTCATTCTCAGAGGAGCAGCTGAATCGTTATGAAATGTACAGGAGAGCAGCTTTTCCCAAGGCAGCAATAAAAAGGGTAACTGAATATAGACTGGTCATACCTTAAGTTTGATAAGTACACATGTCACTGCAATAATTGTGCTCAATTACCACTCATCAGAGATACAATGTGCAATGCAGAGCCTGAGGGTACAGTGTATGTCAGTGCTTCCTTGAAACAACCTCCTCAAGCACTAGTCTTACACTACATTTTAACCAAGGTCTGCAGCTTGGCCATATTCTATATATTGCTCTGACCAATATGATATCATCACTGACAAGATTTCCATCATGTTCCAAATTTTGAAATTTTTTGGGATTGTGTTCTGTATGATGCATTTTCTCACTATTTAGCGAAACAATTTCTGCTTTTTTGTTTTGTTTTTTGTTTTTGTTTTTCAGCTCATGCAAAGTGTAACAGGTGGGACCTCCATTCCTCCTAATGTTGTTATAGCCATGGCGGGAATAGCAAAAGTCTTTGTTGGTGAAGTTGTTGAGGAAGGTTTGTGTATGTTTTCTGCAAATTTTAACTTTCTATGTGTTGCATCATTTACTGTGCTTTTCACAAACATGTGAACTCTAAAGTTCAAAAGGTGCCTTCACAATTGCGTTTTTCGCTGCCGTCAATCATAATTACGATTACAAGCAACGAACCGTGAAACACACAAACACACCAAATGGATCGAAATCCACAAATCACAAATCATGACCTCTTGAACCCGTGATAGTATGGTTTTGTTTCCTAAGAGGTCCGTTAAGATGATTGACGGCAACGAAAAACGCAATTGTGAAGGCGGCTTTTGAACTTCAGAATTCGCAGGTTTGTGAGAAGCGTAGTAAAACAGCTGATTTTAAAATGAGGTAATATAGTGCAGCAAGAAAGTGGCAAACAAACTTCAGGCAAATTAATCATGAATGTTTTAAGATGTTGTTTGTGATCTGTAATCATTTATTAAACAGGCACATGGTAAATGAAATCTGCTTATTTGGTCCTCATCAGGATATTGAAAATGATTTTGTTGTACTGTTTTTAAGCAGGAAATCTAAACTACAAATTGGCAAAGCAAAGTCTTTTCTTAAATGATTCATGATATTACACCACACAAAATAGATAATTACTCAGCAGTGCACTTTTTAATACAAACTGAGGTAAATTTGCTTTA